AAGAGCAATAAAACAGAGATCTGACAAGAGAGAAAGTGACTCCAGCGTCAACTAAGACATATCCAACTTCCCATCCGATCATCAGATATCTGTTTTCAGACATTCATCCAAGAATGATCAAGAAATACATCATTCTAAACTCATCTGAGATAATTGTAGTCATTCTCATTTCACGATATAAGGAAATTACAATTTAAATAAGTTCAGGCTCTTGGTTGTATCTAAAATGCAAATTAGTCTTATTAGCTGCTGGTTGTTTTTCTTGATAATATAAGCTACATAACCTAAGTCACATGATGTAGAATGTGGTTTGCTGTACAGTTTTTAAGTATAAAATGCTTAGATTTAATTCCACATAGAGTGACAGTAGTTATAGTGGTGTTTTTCTTGCCTTCTTAAAGTCTTTAAATTAGAAAAAAAAATCAACATTGAAGTAGCAGTTTTGATACTTATTGGGAAGTATTAAGCCTCAACGTTATCTTCTGTAAAAAGGGCTCATTAATATGCCACCCTCATTGGAGTGGTATGGGAGAATTACACACATCACCTCACTCTTCAGCAGACACATTGTAAGTGTTCTCTTGGAGTAGAGAAAATTAATCAGTTTACAAGGCTTATGAAGTGGACCTGACACTAGAGTTGGAACTCTAATAAACCAAAGAATATATAACCCTATAGGAATGAGATACACACAGTGCCTATCACACTCTAAACTTAGTGATGGCCATGTGGCAAGTGCAAAATGTCGCTGGTTAAAAATTAATAATGACTATATTTTATTACACACGAAAGTCTCCTATATGCTGAAGAAGCAAATTCTAGGCAGTCACGTAAACAAAAGAAAGCAGAAAAACAGTGACAGATTCTCAACTTCCTTACAAAGTTCTTAAGATAGAGGCCTTCTGAAAGGACTGCCGGTTCCTGGGATTTACTTGTTGAATATATCTGTTTCCTTTGCTTCATGAAGCTGGTGCAGAGAGCTGGGCTGGTGTCTCCGCGGCCTCTGTCCCCGACCTGGGTGCTGAAGTTCTAGTCTTCTGCTTTTCTTGAGAACATGGGGCTGTGACTTGGAACACTGTGTTGTTAGGCTGCCCGCCCAGGCCCTCAGCAATCTCAGCTCCGTAGTGAAACCTACAGCCTGGGGAGAGGAAGGACCTCCATCTCGAAGCCTCGGCCCCAGGACCTTCTGACTCCAGGTTTCTGAGATGGAAATGTGGAAGGCGGCACACGGGGCCCCAGCGTGAAAGATTCCGGAGGGAAAGTTTACACAAACTAGATTTTGCATTATTATACAATATGGAACAGTGGTTGAAAAAAATCAATCATTCAGGACACAGAGAAAAACCGAAGTTCCCTTTGCTCTTTCTGCTCTCCACATCCTAGTTGCCGGCTTTTAACGGTTGTGTCTTAGTTTCCTGGAGCTTCTCAGCACAAACCGAGTAAATGTATAAAAATGTATATGTTGTTGTTAGTTTTCTTATGTATGACTTGAAGCAAGTCCTAGGTCAGCACTGCTTCCTCACGTAACTCAGAAATAAAAGATTTAACCATCAATAGAAATGCCAGCTACTGCCGGGGACTTAGCTCAGTGGTTCCACTGCCTGCTTCGAAATGCCAGCTACCCAAGAAAGACCCTGAGCTCTTAGGGACCAAGTCGCCTGATGAAAGAGCTGCTCTCCTTAGAAGTCTGTTGACACCTTCTTCCAGGCCACTTGTATTTTGCACATTCAAGGACAAAGTCCTAATTCTATAATGAAAGTTGATGCGGTTTAAAGTTGTGAGCATAATTTTTAAAAGAGCTTTGTTCTTTGCACTTATAATGCTCACTATCATACACCATTTCACCTATTTTAGCGATGGCAGAATGGAGACTCAAACTTTGAAAGTGCTCAAGGGCACAAAACTGAGTAAGGAAGCTTGATTTTAATGGAAAAGGACATAACACAAACCTCACTTCCACACACCAAAGGAATTTGTAACTTACCTCGACATTATATTGAGAGTGTTGTTCACACGATTCTAAGCATCCATTACAGGGATACGCGAGGCTGACACATAAACGCTTCATACGGGGTGTTCCTAAGAGTGCTGATTCCATGTACAGGTTGAGCCCGGTCACACTGCAGTTCATAGCATATTGTCTATGGCTTTATTTGTTTTCCACAAATATTTCCTGACCAACAGTAAAGCTAAGAATATCCCATGTCCAGGTTTTAATGGCAGTGTGACTGATGAGGATGAGGGCCGTGTGCAGAGGAGAAAGGAAGGAAGCCTCTTTCAAATGCACAACTCAAGCTGGGTTTGGTGGGGACATTCTATAATCCCAGCACGCTGGGATGCTGAGGCAGGAACATTGCAAGTCTGAGACCAGCCAGGTCATCTCATTTAAAGGGCAAAATGCCAGTGAAACCCATCCTACAAAGACAGAAGGATGGACTTAAACCAGCAGGAACTTGTGTCTGACAGAGTAATATGATTCAATCAGACACATTTCCGAAATGGAAACTAAGGAGGAGAGGAGGGTGGTTCTTTCTGGGCCTCGGCATATGCCCTCTGGTAGGGGAACAGGCTGGGAGGAAAGAGCCCCATGCCCACCTCTGGGCAGGTTTTTACAGTGGACTCAACTTCCACAAGGCCAACTGCCACATCAACAAACAGGGACAGAAGTAGCACTCCACAGAATAATGAACTTACAAAAACTCACAGTGGACCAGGACTTGGTCTGTAATGAGTACTTCGGAACATTAATTCTCATTACTACAATTTTGATAATTTGCAGAAAAGGTCAAAGTACACTGTTGGCATTAGCATTATTCAGTAAAGAAGAAATAATTAGGAAGAAAAGGAATCTTCCTTTTCAACAAAGCAAAAATCTCATCCACATTCACCATCAAAGAAATACTTGTTTATTGCAGATGGAGGAATTATATGACTTAGCTTTATCCTAAATTGGCCTAGAAAAATCATATAGCAGCAGGAAACCCAGTAATAGAAAGAAATGCTAAATTAATGGAGGTGATATTTGCTGTATTTGGAAACAGAAAAACAGAACACTCAATTGAAGAAAAGCTTCTAAAATAAAATGTCAATCTAAAGGCTACGTGAACTTGAATATTTATCTCTAATTTTAGAAGCATGAAGTAATTTTTTTTTCTTTTTATTGAGTTTATTGGCACATTCTAGGTACACGGTACAGTTACATTCATTACTGGGATCTTGTATCTTTACATGACAGGTCTTGGCTCTCATTTTTTCCCCTTGTTCCTGCCCTCCCTTCACCACCTCCCCTCCTCCCCATTTACAAAGACTTTATTTCCATTTTTCACTTTCTCATATTTTTTTCTCTTCCTTTATTCCCTTTCCCCTACCCTTCCCACTTTCCCTACACCTCTAGCACTTTTCTTCCTATTTCACATTGTTAATTATTAGGATCTTGTGTACTATTATAATTTTTCATGCCAGAGAAACTATTTGGTATTTACACATGTGACTTATTTATTTCACTTAAGAGTATAGCTTCAAAATGTATCCACTTTCCTATGAATGACTCCAATTTCTCATTCTTTATGGCTGAGTACTATTTTTTACAGAAAAACCACATATGAAGTAAATAAATTTGTGCTGGGGCTACAAATACACAGGGTGGAGCCTTTGGTCCTTCTATGGCTGCCATCTCTTTGCTCGCTCACTCATTTAGTAATTATTACTGATCTCGTGCCTTGCTGTAGATATGTGGCCAGGCATTGGTTTTTGAGGAGTAAAACAGATATACTATTTGCTTTAAAATCTAAATAGGGAACACAGGCAATAAGCGGAAACTATATAAAAATTATATTTTATATAATGTTAAGACATATAAAACTTGACATCAGTTTTGTCTTACCCAGTTATGTGAATCTGTCAATTCAGAGGGAGGACTATATGCCGAAATGTTCCAAGCACCACCTAGCACTAATACCTCTTTACTAGGTGTGCATTTTGGTACCTAAGGAAGCAGGAGTGAGTGACTGTGCTATTCTCAATTACATAAAATTTCTCAGCTAAGCTGATGTTTCTTTTTATATGGTAACTGCAGAAATGAGAGCTACTAGACTCAAACTTGACTCGAACCGGCTACTGCGCTTGAGGTGAAGTCCCGCCCACTAACTGTTGCAATTATGAGCACGGGCTTCCTGCTGCTCCCAAGGGAGATGACGGCAATGTATCAGAATACTTTGCTAGTGACAGAAAGACCCTCTTCCACGAAGGGAGAGCTCAAAGCATAGGCAAAGTTAGTCAAAAGCAGTATGATTTGGAAACTTGAATAACTATTACAGTAGGGAGGGCGTAATGTACATATTAATTGCGTAGTTTAAAAATAGGTATTTGTAAAAATGTTTTGCAACTCAATATTAAGTTACAATGTCAAATTTCTAGACAAAATTCATTATTCTATGACAATAAGAGAACAAGACACATTATCCCTATGTGTTTTATATCAGGGAAATTTATTTTCTAAAATTTAGTAATAGAAGCACCAAGAAAGCAATGATTATATCATTTTGAAATTATTCAGTTAACCACCAGGTGGAGCTCTGTGAATTGAATTTACAGGAGTAAAAAATAGAAAATGTATAAATTTATTAAATAAGGAAAACTAATTGATTAAATAAGGTACTTTTTTCTGAACAATTTTTGTTAATTTTTTATTTCCAATACTTAGAGGACTCTTGTGGATCATAAGTGACTGTTTTTTAATTAAAGACAAGATGTCAAATTACTTGATTACTATAAAACATTTTAGCAAATTGGATTCAAAAACCAAAGTAATTTTGTAAAGTTACTTGGCAATTTATCAAAAATGCATGTGTTGATAGACTTGCCTTCTTCTAATTGAAATAAAAAATATACAAGAAAAACTACTAAAATCCTCCCGTTCACCAATTTAGTACTGACTATATTTTAAATGGTTGTTTTTTCCTTTTGTTGTATGTGTGTATGTGTATGTTTTCTTTTTCCAGCACCTGAAACCAAAAAAGATGAAAAGCTCCCCAAAGCAGGTGAGCCCACTTGGTGACGCTGACATTTGGATCAATGCTGTCTTTGTCCGAACAAAGCTATAGTCATACGACTGGGGTAGGCGGACTTCAGGCACTCAAAATAGTCAAAGACACCAAGCCCCTCTCCCTGTGTATGTGCAGGCTATATGTGACGAGATGTGATACGTGCTGAGATTAACACAGATCCTGTGCTTTCTGACAGAATATTTGGGTTAAACTTACCAACCTGCTGAAACTGTTGCCACTTGCTTCTTTTTATGTATCTAGTGGACAATTATATGTTGCTTATAAAATACTACAGGGGCAATTTGACTTTGAGAGTCTGCAGTTAAAGCAGGACATGTGTCTGCAATATATGGTCAGTTGAGCCTTATATTCTAACATTCACCCACTTTTGACTTTTTTCAATTCGCAAAAGCACTGGTGTCCTCTAATGCAGTCCGATAGCTCCAATCCTTTCCTTTCTCATTAGTTAAATATGCAGATATCTTTTGGAGAGATAATTCATTCTCTTACTGGTGATAAGCTGGGAAAATGGAATATCTTTAAAATAGGCTTTTTCAAAGCAGACTTTGCAAGAGAAGAAGTCGAGAGATGAGCTGAGTATACAGGGTTGATGCCAGCTGAAGAAACTGCTTCGGATAGGACAGTGCAGAAGAAGGAGATGACACAATGAATTACACCCTGTAGGGCTGACTCAATCCTGTTTTATACCTATGTACAAGAATTGTACATCTTTATCTATGCACGAGAAGGCTGTATCCATATATCTCTGTATAAAGTAAAAGTGATAGTGCGTAAATACGGACATTCGATTTGGGTTTGTAAACTGTCATTTTTCATTTGCATAAATTTTAACCTATAATCAATCATTATAAATAATTCACCTTTCTTTGTAGTTATCTAATATTGATATAAATGATTACTATCACTTTTCTTAAAAGTACTGCCAACATGAAAATGAATGAAGCCATCTTTTAAGTGAAAAACAACCATTTTAAGTGACTTTATATAATTTGAAAACGTATAGATTCTCTGGCAGGTCAGTGGAAAAATTGGCCATTTTAAACGATTTGAAAAAAATGCATACTTGAGTACTTAATGCATTACTTATACCAAAAGTTATCACTGAAATTTACACATATCTGCAGGAAAGGAGAGACTGTATAAAATTGCGGTGCTGTTCACGTTTCCTGTGGGTTTCAGTGAAACCTTACTAATCAGATAGAAGACACTTTGTTGCCTCTTTCTGTAAGCACAACGTGACATTTTGTGCTTCATTTCACTATTGGTGTATAGATGAAAAGGTAATGTATGGGCTATATATTACCTATTATTAGTTTATATTAAACATGCAAGCATGTTTTTATATGGTTTATTTTTGACTTCTTATAAGGAAAGAAAATTAGCATTAATGTCGTTTTTATAAAACTTAATAAGCCATTTACTGAAAACATACATTATGCTGAAATCACTGCCATATGTGCAAAGTTGTGCTCGATAGCACAAACTTACAACAGATGATCAGACACTGCTCTGCTCCAAGGGGTGTGACTGGGCACACGGACATGAATTACTAAAGACGGCCGGCGGGCACTGGATTCGGGAAGCAGGCTTTGGGATGAGGAAAGGGGCTGTCCCTATCTTTCTTGCAAACAGTGAAAGCTTCACAGCAATGACGAGTTTGAACCAAATATTAGGGATGTACGAGAGAAACTGAGGTAGGAAATGGTTATTGCCTGGTGCAATCAGTGTTGAGGCTAAACCAGTGAGACCTGGATTCAACTCTCTTTCCCTCTGACTGGGTTTGTCAGCCTCGTGTCTCTGCCCTCTGGTGGCCTTGTCCTCTCGCGAAGGCCGTCACACCCGTCTGGCACCGCTGCTGGAAGAAGCCCAGTGACGCTCGCCCCAGCCTTGTCACATGGCACCTCTGGTCAGGAGTGAGGGCTGCAGCCTTAGTGGAGTTGGCCAGGAGAGGCTCGAGCGCCGAGGAGGACCCAGAATGAGGGAATATGCCAGAAGTGCGGATGCGGGGGCAGCCCACGAGACAGGGCCCTGAAATCTGAGGCCCGGGCTTAGGAAGCCAAGGTGAAGCTTAGCTCCTCAAGAGGTCAGAGAGAAGAAAGGGCTTTGTTAGTCTAGCGATGGTACGTAGAGTGAACCCCTGCTGAAGGAACCCGGAAACATCGGGGATTTGGATCAAAATCCTACTTGGTACGTAGAGTGAACCCCTGCTGAAGGAACCCGGAAACATCGGGGATTTGGATCAAAATCCTTCTATAATAACCTAGACATTAATACAGTCCATGCGGAACAGCAGAGAGGTGCTGTAGAGGGAAGCGATGACTTTGGGACATTTATATTAAATCAGCTTCATTTACTTTCAACATTATGTCTAGTCATAATGAATGTTCATTTTGACATGATTTTTAAAGTTTTTAAACATTACTCAACCTTGAAATCTATTGAAAAACGCCGGTGACATTTTGTAGTACATACCTTCGGGCGTCTGGATGCACATGCTTTCAACACACAGTCATTCCCCGGACTGTGCTGAAACCGCTTGTCAACTGCCGGGCTGGCCGGCAGGACGAGAGCAGACACCAGCGACACTGGCTATATATATTATATAACTTCAAGGTCTTAAGCAGGAGAGTCGGAGGAAGTGATCAAATTCAGAACTTAGAAACGCGAGACAATGCTGGGGCCACCACCCGGAGACAGTCTGCAGACCCTCGGGACAGGAGTGGCGGTTCTGAGCCTCCAGCCGTAACAGTGAGCACAGGAGGTTGGAGAGTAGACCAAGGAGAGAAAGAACTCTTCTGGAAGAGGGGACGTGGAGAAGAGCAGGGAACCAAGGACAGCTTTTGGGTTAGTAGCAGAACTGGTGGAGCGAAGGACAGGGCCTTCCTGGGAGGTTGAAGCCACCGTGGAGCTCCAGGGTCTCTCGGAGAGCGGAGGAGGGGCCATGACTGAGAAAAAGCCGTTACAGCTGGTAAGCGAAACTGTTCTCTGACCTCTGGGGAACATTTTTATCCACATACTGGAGCAGGAACCAGTTTGTAAGAGCCAAGACAGGGATTTATCCGTGATAGGGGAAGGCGGAGCAGGGGGTCCGCAGCTTGTTGCTGAAGTGTGGCAAAGCGTGAATTTCAGGGCTGCGAAACAATGAAACGTTGTTGTTACTCTCACGTTTGTGATAAAGAGGAAAATTCCAGGAAGAGAAAAACCATGAAATCCAGAGGGGAAAGTATTCATTCGGAAAGAACTGTCTCAGACATAAGAAGGGTTAGGGTGCACAAGAGAAGTGGAGGGAATTACTTTAATTAACAAGAAGAAAAATTTCCCCTGAGCTCTGAAGGACAGCTGAAAGGACAGATGAAATTAGAGCTGAGTGTGTACAAGGGTGTGACTGCTTGGTGGGTTTTCTCCTAAAATGCATGTGACGGGGACCAATAATATGGTTGTTGCAAAACCCAGGAGATAACTTTCCTCTAGCTTGATATAATGACCCCTAGAAAATATTAGACAATGCTTACTGCCTCTTATTTTTTAGGACAAATCTTTTCTTTGACAAAACTAATGCATTTAATCCATAACTGTTAAAAATAAAACATCAAAATGTTAATGCAGATTAAAATACTGTTCCCGCATTTGGATAAATATGTTTAACAAAAATTAACACTAGAGGGCTGGGGATTTAGCTCAGCGATTCAGTGGCCTGCTCGCAAGTGCAAGGACCCAAGCTCGATCTCCGGTACCAAAAAAAAAAAAAAAAATTAACACTAGAATTTGTATTTCCTTCATAAAAATGATGGCAAACAGATCATGCAATGTATTAGGTAGTTGGAAAAAATTAAGTGTTGCTTTCAGGGAAAAAATAGACATTAATTATAAATAGTAATAGCATTGCAAACAAAAACCTTACTTTTTCTAATCCACATATGAGATTATGCATTGGTAGTTTTTTGAGATGGGCTTACTTCACTTAGTACAATCCCATCCACATTTATCCATATTTCTACCTAGGAAATGGGAGAATGTGGTCAAAAGATAGAAAAGCTCCATTATGTGATGGGAGTAAGTTCTGGGACGAGATGTACAAACGGAGAGTGTAGCGATTGTCACAGTTTCAGGGTCTGGGTCCCTCCAAAGTAAATTGTTGAAAACCCCGTCCTTATTTGATGGTAGTAGGAGACAGGGTCTTTTAAAGGCTATTTCTTGCCCTTACAAAGGAGGCTCTTGAGATGAACACTGTCTGAGAAGGGGCCTTAAAAACATCTAGCCCTTTCTGCCACATGTAAACAGCAAGCAGGCTCCGTTCATGAACCAGAAACCCATCACCAGACACACAGGCTACCAACCCATCAGCACACTGATCTGGGGCTTCTCAGGCTCTAAGACGGACCAGTACATCTCTGTTGTTTATAAATCAGCCAGTCTATGGTGTTTGGTTACAGCAGCCAAAACAGATGAAGACATTGACTGTTACCAATAACAAATCAGGGCAGTAGCCTGTGGTCCTGAGTGTGGAGATTTCATTGGTTTTTGTCATTCCATTCCTGGCACAGAGCGAGAGCCTTGTAAATGTCTGTGAATGAACAAAGGATGTAAGTTAGGTCATATAGTAAAATGGACTTGAAAGTCTCTTCCTTAATTTCCTAAATTGAGAAATTCACTTCCTAGAGATTATTATAAATGTTAAAGTATTCCTTCTAAAATATCTATTGTGAGTTCAAGCACAAAATGAATATTAAAATGTTAGTCGTGGATTATACTAATAAGTGTGTGAGGCAAAAACTCTAGAATAAGAATTTTGAAGATCTTACAAACTCTGACAAGTAGAAATCATTGGCCATTTAATTTACAAAATAAAAGCAGTTTTTATTTTCTATGACTCTAGTGCTATATTTGAGAAATCTCTTTTTGAATAAATTTATCATCTAGAGATAAGAAAAAGAAATGTTTCTTAGGCAAATCAATTCCAGGTATAAATTTTCTTAGCTGTTTTAGAATCTCAGGGAGATGTATGCTCTATAGATCCAAAGAAAATATTCAAGTCATATCAAGGAAAAAAGGGAGACCAAAGCCAGTTGCACTAAAAATTACTCAACTCTTTTTA